TGTTTTTTTGTATGGGTTCACGTTACCTGTACCTTTCATTCTACAACCTGTTTTAATTATTTAATTTCAAAAGATTTATATACTTTTAAGAGTTAGGATTCATTTATATATAATTTTTATATACATTATTTATACAAAATTTTGTTAATTAATTAATTTATTATTAATAATTAAGATTATTTAATTTTTATTTAATTTTTAATTAAAAATAACTGTTTTTTTTATTTAAAAATTTATAATAAATCTCAACAATTTATAATAGAGAAAGGAAGATTTAAGATTTTTTGTAAGTGATGTTTGCAAGAATTTTATGTGAGTGGATATTAACTTTAATCTCAAATAATTTTAAGATATAAAATAGTTAATTTGTTTACAACTATTTTCTCATTTGAGAAAAGGTCAAAAAAAATTGAAAATTAATGGGAATAAGTTGGGGGAAAAATTTTATTTAAATGAGTTAATAAAAACAAAAAATTAAGCAAAACATGAAAAGAAAAGAAAGACAATTTCTTTCAAAATAGAACAACTGAGGAATGGATTTGAAAACATTGTTAGAGGGCAATTTGAGTGGGGTTATTACCACACCTAAAATTATTAATTCTACAAGTCTTATTTTGTTTTAATTGTTTTGCCCCTCAAAATGTGTTTTCATTTTTCTCTCTAAGTCTGATGGGAAGCACCATGCATAGCTTTGTTGGAGAAAGAAGATCAATGTTTTCATCCTCCCGAATTGTCGTTCATCAATTTGTTTTTTGAAATAATTTAATCTATATTTATTTGTATTTATCTATTTATATCTATATCTATCTATATATTAGATAAAATGCTATCCCAAGTATTAATTAATAATTAACTTTGTCATTTTATTTTAGTTATAAAAGAAAACAATTTGTTAAAAAAGAATAGATATTATTTTTACATTAAAATATAAAAATATAAACCTAATATTTATGAAAAATACAAACCTAATATTTATGAAAAATACGAATAAACTAAAGGTTTAGAATGCAATAGTTATGGTAAAATTATTTTAAGATATCATATAGTTATTTTTACTCATTGAATTGCAAGCCAAAATTTATTAGTAGAGCTAACTGTTTTAATTTGTATCTTCTTTTATATATATATATATATATATATAATTTTAGATGTTAAATAGTCATATATTGTCGATGAAATTGCACGTTACAGTTATACTTTGTATTTGGGAATTTGTATTAAGTAGAGCTCTAAGCTCACATAACATTTGTTTTTTTTTTAATTTACGTTGTGTAATTATTTTTATAATTTTTATGGTTTTTTTTTTTTGGTACTTTCTAAAGATGGGATATATAATAGAGAGTAAAAAAATAATTTAGAAACAACTTTTTTATACTTTTTTTTACTACCTTATGTGTCATTTAAATGATTTTATTTATTTATTTAGCATCCATAATATTAAATACATTCATTGATTTAATAATACATAGAAATTGTATAAAAAATTATCTCTGCATCATCATCCTAGAGGATAATCTTTTTCTTCTCAAGCCCTTTCTTACCCATGGTGGGGTTATGGTAAATCGTATCATTGAATAAATCATCATCCTAGAGGATAATCTTTTTCTTCTCAAGCCCTTTCTTACCCATGGTGGGGTTATGGTAAATCGTATCATTGAATAAAAAGGGATATAATTATAGAATTATTGTTTGTATAATAATTTTATGTAATTTATTTTCCTTTTAACTTTTTTGATTTCTTTTAATTTTTTTTATTTTTGATGGTAAGAATAACAATTATTCTTAATAGTTATTTGTATTTATATTTTTTTTTATTTGACTTACAGCTAAATAACTTTATGTAATGATGGTATCTCTCTTTGAAAAATTGTAAGAAAATGCTTATAAAAATAGAAGCGATACTGGCTATGAACATGATCAAAAAAAGAAAAAAAGAAAGAAAGAAAAAGAAAAGAAGAAGCAAAAAGACACTAAAACACGGTCTCAATTAGTGACAATTATGGCTGATAAAAAAAATTATTAGCGACAATTATCAACAATTATAACTTTATAATGAATGCCATTCACTCCTTTGCCATCAATTGCCAAAAACAAAAGAGACATTTATGGAAAAATGGAAATGATTGAACATTGCAAAAAACATAAAACTAAAATGGGGAAGTTGGCAGCTTCAGATTGGCCAAGAAGTGCCTGATCAGTTGCAGAGCCTGCTTGGGCTTAAAAGTGGGGACTTGATGCCCAGCTCCTCTAATTGTTACAAACGTCAATCCATCATACTCAATGGTCCATCCACCAACCTATATGTCCAATTTCAAAACCGATTATTTATCTTCTCTTTTTCTTTTTACTATTTTGGCAAATAAAATATTGAGAAAATTAATAAAGAAAAAAAGAGAATTAATTACCTCTTGTTTGTAATACCAAGGTGTCCATTCTTGAATTGTTTTGAGTCCAAGTTTTCTCAATGTATATCTTGTTGATGTTACTGGAATTCTCCCATCGGTATCTCCACTGCAACAAATAAAAATAAGTAAACAAATAAATACTAAATAATCAATATAAAAAAATCCCAAAAATATATATATATATATATATATATATCAACATCAACATCATACCGAATTAACTTGTGTTAATATTAAGTTTGCAACCTTAATTTAGATTAATTGTCAATTTGCACCTTCCTTTTATTACATTCCATTACTATTAGAAAATCATATATATATATATATATATACATACTTTCCATAAAAAGAAAATTATATTTAATAAATTAACTTATTCTCAAAATAGAAAAAGTTTAACATATTATAAGACGAAATTAATAATGTGATATTTACCTAAAAACCCATGCGCGAAGGCCTCCATCTATGAGCTTTTTGATTACAGGAAGCATTGAAAACGGTGAATCAGCCCAAAGTGAGATGTTATTACTGTGGACATAACACAACATCATGCTTAGGGTTAGCTTTGATGTCAAAAAAATTTTTTTTTTTTCTTAATTTTGGGTTGCACAATTGTTGACAACTTTTTCTTATCTTTTTACCCTCCTTACCTACATGCATACAAATCAAACTTAAGATCTTTCAAGCGAAGGAATTACAACTAAACCTACAGTTTAAGAGTCATTGACATTTACTCTCAAATTAATTAAACAGGTTAATGACAAAAATGACTTCGAAGGGACATTTTGATTAAATTTTGAAGCACAAATACGTTTGGTACCTGCAATGAGTCCATGGATAGGGGATTTTGGTAACATTGGCATGAAGTGCCTTTTGAACATCAGGCCTGTTCATGTAAACCTCAGTGTAGTCCGATGCACAAGGGTCATAACCGGCTGGTTTCCTGTGCCATCCATCCTGTGTCAAAATTTTGTTAATTAATCAGATGATCTCCATCAATAAACTCAAAAAACCTCATAATAAGTACTTACGAATTTGGAAAGCGTTTTAGGGGCAATGCTTTGGATGGCTGGCAATTGTATGTTAGTAGTGCTGGTGGTACCATTAACACAGGTTGGAGCATACAAGCTGTACATATCTATGATTCTGTACACACCGAAATACTTATTTAGGGCAGCATTGCATGCGTCGGTTGTGTTTGGGCTGCTGAAGTTGCAGTTCACCTTAACGTTATGGTAGACGCGATCAGAGATCACAGCATGATCCCATGCATAATCTATCATGCCTCTCTGATCTGTATCATCATCCAACAGCGCGTTGCCAACCTGCATTTCGATATCATTTCCTTTCAATTAAGGACATCAATTGTGTATGAAAAAGGAAAACTAAATTTAGAAGCCTTACAATGAAACCCTTTAGATTAATATAATCTGCCTTGCTTGCCTTCTTATTGTTGTCAAAAATGGCCTCAGCTAGTTGTGGAACGTAGTGTCCTGCAAAATTCACAAGAAAGTTGAACTCATATCATATGTCACCTGATATCACGTAATTATGGCTTACAGTCACTTGCATCGTACAGAGACTCTTCATTATATCTTAAGAAACAAGTGTCTACAGTCTACTACTTGCATACAGTTTGGTTTTTTAGTATACCTGCATAGCTTTCTCCAGCAATGTGGAAATCATGGGACTTGAATTGTGGGAATCTTCGGAACCAATTGACCAGAAATTTATAAGAATCCTTGGCTATTATCATGAAAAAGATTGTAGTTAAGAGATTGATAATGTTGGCCAACAAAAAAAAAAGATAATCAGGGAAAATTAAAGCAAATTTAATTCTCAGGAAAATGTGCAACTGCATTGAGGAAATTTAATTAATTACCAGCAATTTTGTCACCAAGTTGACTAAGATCGCTGCTGGTATTGGTATAAGAAAATCCAACTCCAACAGGAGCTTCAAGAAACAGTAAATTGGCAGCTTCACCAACACAGAAACAACAAAAGTATTAAATATATTAATAATTGAACAGTAATTTTTTAACGCAAAAATTCAAACGAAAAACTGATCAATAGGTTCTAGGCAGAATTGAAAGCGAAAATTATTTTCCACTACTGATAATGTAGGGCCCATGGTTCAAAAAATTACGGCCTTCATTAGGCTTCTCATTCTTGGTCCAAGTCCAAATATAGCCATTCATACGAAAAAGGCAAATTAAAAACAAAAAAAAGTGTTGGTGCGGATAAAATATTAAAATTTTACCATTTATAATTTAAATTGTATTAAAGT